TTAAAGTGCAGAATTTTCTTTCAAGTCTGAATACAAAGGGGGAGAATGTTAGGACTGAGAAATCAGTATTAATTGTATTCGTCTTGAAAGTTTATAAATAGTCTAATTGTAAAAAGTCAGCGTGTTTGACTTTTCTTATAGGTTTGACTTTGACCTTGTCTTTGTTAGTTTGACCATATAAATATGGTTTATTCTTTTTAATTAGAGTGAGGGAGCTTAATTGTAAGATTACATTGATAAATGAGAGTTTGACCAGAGCTTATATGTGTTGACTTTCTCTCTCGATATTCATCATAATGTTCTTAAGTGTTCTTGAATGAATATATGAATCTGCCATCATGATTATGAAGATATGAAGAATTAATCAGTAATTGTGGACACACATTATCCAGCGAAATATTTCCGGCGGCCGAAATCCACCGGAAAAGTAAAGAATCCGCCGGAAAACTCGACGGAAAATAAATCACCGGCGCCCTCTTTTCCGGCGGACAAATCCGCCGGAAATCCGCCAGAAAACCCAATTTCCGGCGGATTTGTCCGCCGGAAAAGACTGTCATTTTGGTAGTGGATGTGTGTATAAGAAAGAAGATGAGACTCATTGTGTCAACTCAATAGGCTTGACTCATAATGTTATCTTATTTGGATGACCCTAATTTTGCAAAACAAATTTTATTATATGAAAATAAAAATGAATTGTATTATAATCATATATATAATAAAAGAAGCACCAAAAGGTATTGATGTGATAAACATGGGAATTGAGTATTTAGATGTTGGTGAAATAGTAAAATATTATATTAAAGGAAAATCCACGACATCATAAGAATTGAGTATTGAGGTGTTGGTAAATTATGGATGAGTTTGAGATATCACACATTGGTGAGAAATTGAAAAATTGAGATAAGGATGTGTGTATAAGAAAGAATATGAGATTCATTGTGTCAACTCAAGGGGTTGACTCATAGGGTTATCTTATTTAGATGACCTTATTTTTGTAAAACAAATCTTATTATATAAAAATAAAAATGAATTGTGTTTATAATTATATATATATATATATATATATATATATAATAAAAGAAGTACCAAGAAGTATTGAAATGATAACATATGAGTTTAGTATTTAGATGTTGGTGAAAGGGTAAAGTATGGTATAAGGAGTGCATATAATAAAGAAGAATGAGATTCATTATTCAACTGATGAGGCTTGACTCATCAATCATCAATATATATATATATATATATATATATATATATACCTAATAAATAAGTAACTTTAAGGACACGTATCATGTTTTTGTGCGATATATATATATATATATATATATATATATATACCTAATAAATAAGTAACTTTGGGGACACGTATCATGTTTTTGTGCGATGGTTATTGATTTTTTTCGCATAAACATGTATCTAGAGACAATTTTCATTTACGGTTCAAATATGTCTATTTAAGTGACATATGTCCCTCTACACGTTTATTTTCCTGTTTTCGTGATTTAACTAAATTTAAGTCTGAATTTAACTCTAAAGTGGCCTCCAGACTTACAACATAACTCTGGGAAAATTCAGAGTTGTAAGTTTGAATTTAACTCTGAAATAGCCTCCAAACTTACAACATAACTCTAGAAAAATTCAGAGTCGTAAGTCTGAATTTAAGTCTGAATTTAACTCTGAAGTGACCCCCAGACTTACAACATAACTCTGGAAAAATTCAGAGTCGTAAGTCTGAATTTAACTCTGAATTTATGTCTAAATTTAACTATGGAGTGGCCTCCAGACTTACAACATAACTCTGGGAAAATTCAGAGTTGTAAGTCTGAATTTAACTCTGGAGTGGCCTCCAGACTTACAACATAACTATGAGAAAATTCATAGTTATAAGTCTGAATTTAACTCTGGAGTGGTCATCAAAACCGGGTTTAAAATTTCAAATTCGGATTTTCGACCCCAGCCAGCGGATGTTGTCCCTTGGACCCCGCCACCGGGGGCGCTATCCCAGGACCCTTGTCGTTTAGGAGCTTCGCCCCTAAATTAAAATAAACTCAAACTAGTGTGCACTCAGCACCTTCCTTACATGTTCGATATTTATCATGATTACATTGGTCAACAATTTAATCCCATTACACTTAAATGACATTAGTGATACAAATCACCAACATGAAGTCATCAGATATTGGTTATTTCTCAAACTTACAACATAACTCTAAATTGTTCTGTTCCAAACTTAGTTATATAGTTTATTCTAGACTTAGAATACAATTCTGAACTCCTCTTCAAAGTTGAAGTTCAGAGTTACGTTTCTGAGTTATAAGAAGTCAGAATTCTTGTGACTCAAAGTTATGCTCGTAGATACTTTCTAGATTTAGAAGACAACTCTGAATTCCTATTATTCAGAGTTAATTCCAGAGTTATTTTTCAGTCTAACAATAG